TAATTTAGGGGCGTGGTTGGGGCGTGGTTAGGATAATCACTTCAATAATATTTCAATGTAATTTTTAATATATATTAAGACTTTAAATTCTTTTCGATAGAATGATTCCACGTTTAAATTTGCAGTTGTATTGGGGTTGTCATCGATTCGCCTTGAGGGTTTTCTTTGACGGTGATATCGTAGAAAATCGCTACCAACATCTACACCATGTTTCTCAGCAAATGATGCAGCCGCTTGAATTTCTTTATTCATTCCATCGATGTTGTCATTGACGTTTTGTAGGTTATTTACTGTCGATTGAACGATAGTTATGGCATCGATCACGTTGAGGTCTTCACTTTGAAGTGTCGCCGTCATTCGCTTGGTCTTGTACATAATGTTCTTCGTAAACATAATTGACACAATACAATCAAAGCGCAGCAACTTGGAACGCAAACCAGAAGCAGTACCGTCATCCGACTGTTCCAGGTTGGAAAGGCTGTCTAGCATGGCTTCGTAGCTGATCCACACAGACTTTATGGACTCAGCGCGAGCTGTCCATCGAGTTCTGGAGAGATTTCTTAGGTTCAGTGGATCGTCTACTTTCATGGACTGAATCGAGTCTTCTAGTGAAGACATGCGTTTTGTGCTACCCGTATAAAACACATAAAGCGCTTCCAAAACGTTGAAAAGGTCTGTGATAATTGGGCTTGCCTTGCAACTGTGTTCTATGACCGTGTTCGAACGATGTGCTAAACATGGGATGTATGGAACACTTTTCCCGAGCTTGTCCTGGAGGTTTTTTTGCACACCGTTAAACCTACCCGACATTGATGCTGTGTAATCATAACTTTGAAAGCACAGTTCGTCCAGATTCAACCCTTGTTTAGTTAAAGATCCAATAATCTCGGTTGCTCCAACTTCCCCAGTCTTGTCCACGGCTTCAGTCAGCGACACCAAACGTACGTGACGTGATATGGGCGCATCCTGGACGTGTTCAACCAGTGTCTAAGTTCTGGGCAGTACTTTGCCACTAGTTGTACAATTTGCTTGAAGTTTCCGTCATCGTCACTCCCATGACCACGGAATGCAATCTCTTGACGTCCAAGGGTTTTGGTTATATCCAACAATATCTCAATTACTCTCCTGTTTTGCTGAAGATCTTTTTCTTCTTGAATGAGGGCGGAACGCCTTGCTTTATCCAACAGGACATCAATGTGTCCGGATGTTTTGGCGAAGTGAGCATAGGAAAGGAGTGCACTATTGTGGGCCTGGGACGAAAAATGCTTTGCGAGTTTTCCTTGTTTCTTTGTACCACAACTTTTAAACTTGTCCCACGATCGAACGCCTTCTTTGACCCATGCGTTGTCTGCCTTTTCCGTGCCAGGACTATTACCAAACAAAGAGCAAACGAAACAGAAAGCAGCGTCCTTTGACAGGCTGTACTCAAGGTGAGGATATTCTTTAAACCATGCTGGATTGAAGCGCGAATGCTTGTGACTTTCATTTGTAACCCTGGTAGTACTTGGATATTGTTGCAGGATCGGTTGATGTGGTCCAACTCTGATAAGATACTTCTTCTGGTTTTCTGTCAGGTTGGTTGATCTTTCTCCAGGATCAAGCAATGGCAAGGCGGTGTCCTCGTTAGACTCGTCAAGTTATCCTTTGAACTTTCGAGTTTTTCCAGGACCTTGGATGATAGCTTCAGGAGATGGCTTGAGGATTCTTTTACCTGCTTCGTGAATTCTTTTATTCTGATCAAGAAATATTCTTCATTGACATTTTCAGAGGGTTCAATTTCATTGGCAATTTCTTCGCTTACACGTAGTTGCGACTTAAGATATTGAAGGTGACCTGCACAGGATATCCACGTTTCCGATTCTGTTGATTCGTCCTGATCACTTTGAAGTTCCTCACTTTCTTTTTCTCCAATTTCCTGATTTTCGGGCATCTGCAAAGTTTAACAATAAGAAATTACTGTTATGGGTTAACTGCTATTGAACTCCTTTATATAGCTTAGGAAGCCTTTTTGATTAAAACACACGCAACAAAAATGTTAAATTACCGTTCTCTGTTCTTCAACTTCTTCATTGCCATGCTGTGGTGTATTTTCATCTTCGTGCTGCGCGTCTTCTTCTTGAACCGTACAAACAAGTTCTGGATTTTCACTGTTTACACTGATGGTAAGATGGGATGGGCCTTGGGTGTTCTGACTTGACTCTTCATTGTCTTCAGTTACATGAGAAGGTCCAGCTTTCAAAACACCAGTAACCACAGATTCTGTAGACACCTAATGAACCATGGATATGTGATTTATGTTACTAGGACGGATGCGAATAGCGAACAACTGCATTCCGTTTATATATGAATATTTGCCATATCTTTTTAAACGGAGGTAATTATCACTCACCTTTTTGTGTCTTTGTGAAAAAACGAATGGGTTCGCTGGCGCTCCAACAGTCTCGTACGCAATAGATGTTCCCACCTTTAGCAAATTTGCATGGTACTTTTTGTTATGTTGTTTTCGATAATCGTCATCAAACGTTTGCTGGCAAACCAGACATCGGAGTTTAGTTCTCTTTCGCTTGCGTTTCAGTTGGTTCTTTTCCATCGTTTTGCAATGACACTGAAATGCTATGATGACTACTGGTGCAATGTAAAACTTCAATACAACTCCTTTCATTTCTATATATACCCAATATTCCAGCATTGTTAGGTGGAAGTATTAGTGCATGCACAGTTTATAGACTAAGATGGTTGGGCTAGCCGGCAAACTTCAAAGGCGGCGGTAAATTATGTTGGGGATCAAAGGATAAAAAAGTCACGTGTCCATGAAGCGGTACGCTGCGTGTGTTTTTAAGCGAATACGACTGCGAAAATGAAGCAAGCATTGGAAGGCTCGAAGAGATCGATTTATCTGATGACGATTCAGACGACAGTTTCAACCTTTTGTTTGATGTTTTGGTAGCTCAAACGGAGACAAATGAAATTGACAATGAGTTCAATTAAGCTGCACACGAAATCAAAGGCAAGAAGGCATTTGAGTACGAGAAATGCGGTAAAATATGCAAATCGAAGGTGCTCTTTTAATACACAAGGTGTACAAATTCTAAACGTGTCGAGCCCAAGACTGCCGAGGTATACAAGGACAATTCTATATATGGCAACGAGAGTTCCATTGCAACACTGTTTAATGCTCTGCTTCCTATGTACGAGATAATTTGGAAGGAAAAGAATCAGGACAAGTTGCTCGAAACCTATTATGGCTTAATTCCTCCACTGGAAAAGTTGTTGAAGTGTGATGATTATAGAATAGCGAACTTAGTACTGATTCAACTACCTGGTTTTTTGGTTGGCATCTATAAGACTTCCACAATGAACAAAACGCAAGACGACACGCCAGCCACACTTGAACCCAGCTGAATGCCGACTATTGTCCTACATTGCTTTGCACAAGCCCACTTCTGCGGTTCTAGCAGAAATTAAAGTCTTTGCATGACTTGCAATAAGGCTTGAATTTCATCGTTGGACTGGCCTTTCGTTGTTCGGTTTTGTGAACAAGCTTTACTCGCAATATATCCATATTTTGTTTAAAGCTTGTTCACAAAAACCAATGAAAGAAAGCCCAGTCCAACGATGAAATTCAAGCCTTATTGCAAGTCATGAAGTCAACTGAAGCGACAAATACTTTTATTTCTGCTCGAACCAGAGGTGGGTTTGTATGCTCTAATGCCCTTGTGACGACTTAATTCATATTGTTGAAGTTTCTGAGTTACTTTCAGAGGTGAAATCAACAAGATCAATGACAATGATACATTAATAAGAAGTATACCTATGGCCATAGCCTAGGCTATACAGAACGTTCATATTTGCAATTCAGTGCTCGACTCTCCTGTTGTGAAGTGATTATGGGAGAACATTGTTTTGTCTTCTGGGGTTGACAGTTCATCTGCAACTCCAAAATTGTGCTTGGAAGATATTGTTAAAACTCTACTTAAAAGTTAGATCTTTTTCATATGTACAAAACAAAAGAGAAGCAAAAAAGATCAAAGGCAAAGCGCTCAGAAAGGACTTGAATAGGAAGTAACTGTTCCTGTAAATAGTATCTGTAAATATCCCTATTTACAGATATATTAAACAATAACAACAGTGTATATTTCTCTAATTATCTATCATGTATAATTATGTCTTATTGACTTTTGTAATACATAATGGAAAATATAAAGATACACTCAATAAAAGCACACAGCTTCTCAAGACTGTTGTGTATACAACTTTGTCGCGACTGTGGCAATACACTGATATTTGATTCTCATCGTGTTCGCAGTTGTTTTCATTCACAATAACATCTTAACTGATCCATGTTTCCGTTTAAATGACGTTTTAAATTTGTAATATTTTAGATCTCTTTGAATTGTTCTCCAGAAGCAAAAATGCGATTTGTGCGAGATATTTTGACCCCTCCATATCGGCTTTATTTTTCGTTTTTACACCCTCATGTGTTTCAGATAATGATATTTGCATCTCAACGTACTTAACACGAACCATCACAAACATATGCTTTGAATTAACTTCGTGAGACAATCGAAAAAACGTCATTTTATCTGCAAATATGATCCACTCGTATAGAAAAATATACAATGTTTGAAACAGCATACCGCTTTCTTGTCACGTGACGCAAATAAATTGAGAACAATGACATATTCTGTGACGTCAGCAGCTAGCCCAACCATCTTAGTCTATAAACTGTGGTGCATGGGAGCGCCAACCACAAAGTTAATTTGCATATTTTGCGCAATAGCATCAGATTAGCTCATTCTAGAAAACCACAAGCTTGTAAAATAGAACGCAATTTAGGGCACTCCTTAAAAATTTGTCGAAAAAGAATTTTCTTGTGGTTTAGGTTAGACACTTAGACGTCAAGTACTGTAGTCTGTAGTGGGAGCTACTGTATACTGATCCTAGTTTTACTGTACAAATATAGGTTGAAATATATTGTGGTAATGACGTACACTGATTGAATTTGGTTTAATTGAACTGTAGAAAGTTGAGAAATACAGTCCCGTTACTCCCATACGTTTTATTAGTAAGACTGATAAAAATACCCGAGAAGGGCGAGAACTTACAAAACTAATAGACAAGCTTCTGCGGAGGAAAGTGAAATTTGAGCGTAAGCATTTTCAACGCGCCACGCTTGCTGAATCACAATTCATGACATTTGACGTAGGCTATGCGTAGTCCAGTGTAGCTGACTCGGGCAGTAAACTGACGTAGATATAGGTTAAAATTAACTACTTGAAAAATATGACAGTTGAGTTCAACCTACATCTATAAACTCGTAATAATTGCTGCTTTTATTAGTTGTACAGACAAGTAAAATGATAAAACTCCAGGCTCTAGAGTGCTTGGTTAACTTATACACAGATATTATTATGTAAGTGTTAATTATCCTCTGCGTCATATCACTTAAGAAACATTGTTTTTAATCAGATTAGGCTTTGAGCTGAGTGGATCGTATTACCGTATGGACGGGTGACTCTCATAATCTTGTCAGCAATCTTGCGCATTTTTCCCAACCTGACATTTTGTTGGAATTTTCTTATTTTCCCAACATTCTTATCGCCGTTTTTTAATTCTATTGATATTTTTTGCCTTTAAATATTCTCCCGACATTTTGAAATTTCTGCAAAAAAGCATCGTCTACATCGCATCCAAACGTTAAATTTGCCGACAGAAGTCCAGGTTTGCCGACAGGCGTAACATTGAGGGGGTCAGGCACCCCCCTGGACCCCCCTTCGCTACGCCTCTGCCTGGGTACGAGGTTGATAGTGTCCTACCATACAGGAAATGTTACCATTTGTTAAATCTTCTATGACGAAACTTTCTCTAAGCCCATTTTAGTAATTTTGTGTTTGAATAATTAGACCATATAGGCTTAGTACAAAAAAATTATTTTAATAACTACGTTTCGGAGTATAACTCCATCTTCAGGTTAAAAGTAACGAAATAATTAATAATTTATAATCTAATTCTTGATTGGCTAATTAACGTGGGCGAACAAATGGATGACGGTTTGTTTTGAATTTTCAAATAAATAATATAAAACAATTATTGAATTCAGTTTTTGCACAATATGAAGAATTATCAAGCCCTCAGTTTGCTGTTATCAACCTCAGTCTTCGGCTTCAGTTGATAACCTCATTCAATAATTGTTAAATATTGCTCAATAATTGTTAAATATTGCCCAATAATCACCGAGCCTGAGGCGAATAATTCACTTATTCACCAATAGCGACGCCATCTTGAATCATCATGCATTATGGGTTATCCAGGGCAAAAATCCGAACTCAAAAGCCTTTAATGTCGTATTGAGACACAATACGATAATTTTTTTTCATAAACACTTTCTTGAGGACAATGAGGCAGTGTAAATCAATTTTATGCACACTTTGTTGAAATTATTTCCCTTTTTAGGCCTAACAAAGATTTAAACTATAGATTTTATCCTGATTTTTTTATTTTTCCCAGCTTTTGTGTGTTTTCCTAGTTCTTCTAAAAATTGCCTGTTATTTTCAACTATAAAAACGTGTGTTTTCGCCTACATATTTGATTTACAGCCCTTCAAAAACGCTCAATTACCCTGGATCACCCATAATGCATTGCGTTAAACACGAAATTCAAGATGGCGTCGCTATTGGTGAATAGGTGAATTGTTTTAGTATTTTTACACAAGTCTTTTGTGTTTTTTTTTATACTGAATTTATTTTAATTTCGCTTATTTCTTTATCGTTAACTTCTGCAAAATGGCTAGCCGCAATTTTGTAAATTTTGGTTGGGTTGATATTCACCTGTAGGTGAATATAACAGCTTAATACATCAAATTTGACCAATCAACTTGTAGGATTTGTTTTGTTCACTTGTGCAAAAATACTAATTATGATTAATCATTTATATTTTGCATTATTATAAAGACCATATTCAAGAAAAGACCATGGACAGGAGCAGAAGAAAACAATCCTTGCAATCCGTAAACTATAGAAAAACTCTTCAAACACATGAACCAAATGTATCTTCTGCTGAAAGTCTTGACATATCATATAATGACCAGGTAAGTAATCCATTTGGTGCAATGAACATGGAACGACCCACAACGACACCACAACGAGCCACGATGACACCACAACGAGCCACAATAACCCAAAACCAGCCACAATGACCCACAACGATCCACAAGTTCACAACAATCCAACAATAACATTATTCTGTGCCCCGATCATTGGCCACCATCAGTACTTCCACAGCTATTCCCTTCAGTATTTGGCATTTATTACGTATTTTCCGCCGATGACGTCATCAGCGTCCAATAATTGTTTTTTTGGATCGAACTTGCATCCAAAAAAAACAATTATTGGACTCTCTCGTGCGCAAACCCTTGCGCGGCCAAAAGCTTGAACCTATAAGCGCGCGGAAAAAAAACAAATGGCCTACAGCAGATTTGCTTCGCTGAATGAAAGTGAACTCTCCAAATTATTGGCAGATAAGGATAGTGAAAGCACGAAAAAAGCCTCAAAGGGGTAAATAGGAGTAGAAATAGAATATTTAGCTGACCTTTGACTTTGTGCAAGGTGTTTGATACTCAAATTGTACTTTTCCTACCTCATGAACAGGAATCGTTTTATACCTTTCTCATGTCTTTAAATGTATAATAAAACAATTACGGCTTTCGCATGATATCAAGAATTATTCTGACCTCAGTCTATGTTATCCGCCTCAGCTTCGTTTCGGCAGATAACATTGACCTCGGTCTGAATAATTCTTGATATCATGCTCAGCCTCATCCAATAATTGCTTATTATTTATTGTCATGCAAAATTGCAACTGAAGGTAATTTTGGGATCGTTGTGGGGTCGTTGTGGGGTTGTTGTGGGTCGTTGTGGCTCGTTCCATGTTTTAGTAACTATGGCAATGTTGGTCACAATAGTCATTTGAGCAAATGTTTGAGTTATTGAAATTTTTGGTGTGTAAGAGAATTGTTTTGCATTTACATATTTCTTTAATAGGAAAACCTAGTGCACAATGGTTCCAAACTCAAAAAAACATCAACAAAGAAGGCAAAACCTGGATATTGTGCTTTGGAAAACTTACTTTTCTATCTGGAAACGTAAGAAAATGTCAAGAGTTGATGTGCCACAGCCAAAAAACGTCTTGATGTAGTAGAAAGAGTCCAAATTTCTTCTCTCCTCTCTGACATTCAAGAAGTGCTGGCACACACTAATGCCCAAGAAAAAGTGATTGAAAAAGCATTAACTACTACTAAACTTGTTCCGAATGATCATGATTCAGGCTGTAAAAGACCCATTCTGACTGATGAAGACAAAGTATATGTCATCCAGGAAGGTCTGTTCCAACCAAAACTTGGTAGATATCCACAAAACCCTGATATTCATCCATCTACGCAGTGCCATTTTTCATTGCATGGTTCAATACCTATCCACATGTCGAATATTCTGTGAAAAAAGATGCAGTGTTTTTTTTGTTTTTTTTTGTTTGCCAGCTGTTCCATCTCATATTGGCACAAAACATAACCAAGGCTGTGTTAAAGCTTGGCACAAGATGAAAAGTTGTGGAAAAACAAACCTGGAATATCAACAGAACACTGTTCAAGTTATTGTGCAACTCTTGCAGCATTAGCGACCTTTCAGAAAAAAATCCACCAACATCGACCTCTTCCCGGATAAAGGTTTCAGAAACAATTTAATCGAACAAAAAGCTGAGACCCAGCCCAATCGTGAATCAATTAAAATTCTTTTGGACATTACAAGGACTCTCCCATGGCAAGGGATAGCATTGGAGAAAGATAGAACCAGAAATTTTCATCAAATTGTCGACCTTCTAAGCACAACATTCTCCTATCCTTGGCTGATGCCTCAAAGTGACCTCACAGAGTTGACTACCTTAGTTCAAATCTAAAAATGAGTATTTTGAGCTCTTGGCAAAAGATGTTTCGAGGAGAAGTCAGTACCAAAATAGGTAAAGCTGATATGTTTGCCGTCATTGCTGACACAACAGCCAATGTTTCCCATGTGAATCAACTTTCTGTGGTTGCAAGGTATGTAGATCAAAAGGGATATGCACAAGAGCATCTTGTGGATATTCAAGGGATTGATGATAAGATGGAGCAAGGTCATGCTCAAGGAATCCAACATCGTCTTCCAGTCCAACGATTATTTTATGAAGGGCATCTTGGAAGAGAAGTCCCTTACTTTCCTTGTCTTGCACATTGTGTCAATACAACAGTGGAACGTAGATGTCAGGCAATTACTGCTATATGTTACATGTTTGGAATTCTGCAGCCCTAACAAAAAAAGTCTATAGGCCTGCCCTATAGGCCAACCTATAGGTTTCTATAGGAAAACCAACCTATAGGTTTCTATAGGAAAGGTGACCTATAGGGATACCTATAAGCCTATAGAGCTCTATAGGTGCCTAAAGGCTTCTATAGGGAATTGGAACATTTCCTATAGGCCACCTGTAGACTTTTTTCGTCAGGGAGGAAGTGTTTGTCTTATTTATGACATGTTGTTTATGTCCAACATGCATAATATTACATAACTCAAAATGATTCAAGGAAAACAGTCTTTTGTTGAGAGGAACACTGGTTAATAGAAATTGGTCCTTTTGAGTGACATAATCGTTTGTCATCATCGATCTGTGTCATTGAACAATGAAAAAATTTGTCATGAAATTAGTGAAGATAAAATTGCAGTTCGTGAAAAAAATGCAGGTCTACGGAGCGGGAACTTTTCGGACTTGAACTCAGCTTGTTCAAAAGTATTAGTTCCTGTAAACATATTTCAGTTGCAAGACAAGGTAAATGAAGTGAACAATATCAGGAGACAGCAAATGGGCTAAAAGTGTTTTTTAATTTTTGCTGCTTTAATCCTCTAAAAAGGTTAGGTCATTCAACATCTTCATTAAATGTAGCTATGTAACTTGTGCAACTACTTGTATCCTTTTAAAGAAAACTGACATGAAAGGTCATGAATAATGCAAATAATGCAAATTTATTTAAATTTTGATATGGCAGCAATCTTGGATCTGACCTCATAATGCAGAATGGATGGATATATTTAAAAAGTTACCAATAATCCCTAAAGTAGTATTTTTTTCTTTTAAAAGATGATTATAAAATTGTTCCTTATGTAATTGTATGTATACATTTTCAATTCAGTACTTCAAAGAACATCCACTGGTAAAATGGTCAATTTCCTTTTAACAGAATAAAATCCTTGAGCAAGGTTTGACTTTAAAATGTTGACATTTACCACATCGCCATCAACATACCCATCGTGCATGAGATGATCCAAGATGTCCTGACATCCCTTGTCAGAAATGCAGTCACCCTATCCACCATTGTTATATAGTTGGTGTCAAAGTTCAATTTTTCTGTTTGCCGATTGGTCAAAACTGTATCACATGCCGGTCCACAAAATGCTCGGCAACCGGTCCAAAATGAAACATTTATATTGACCGGTCAATAATAAAATGGGTGCAATACGCATGCGTGTCAACCATGAAGTTCCAAAGTTCATTTTTTAAACTTTTTACTAAATTTTACAGCATTCCATTTATCCAGTTTTGGTTTCAAATTAAGTTCACTCCAATAAACAGTGAATTATTCATACTTTGACACTTATATACTATATAACAAAACACTTCTTTACCGAGA